GGCTTTTTTTTTTTTTTTAAATACATACCTTGTGAAAAAAGGGACTTTTTCCCCCCTTTCCTTTATGGAATTCAAGGCCTTGCACATTTAGGCAGTTGCTCTACCACTGAGCTACATCCTCAGCCCCCCAAAGGACTCTTGGAGAACATACCACATTGATGAGGGACTCAGAGAATGGGGTGGAGCCATACTTGAGCCTTTCTAGCTTGTTTCCTAACTGGATCCTCTTCTGAATATCAGGCCTCTGAGGACCATCTGAAGCAGCACTACATTGACCTGAAAGATCGACCCTTCTTCCCAGGGCTGGTGAAGTACATGAACTCAGGGCCAGTGGTGGCTATGGTGAGTGCTTGTTGGGGATGAGGGGAGACCAGGGAAATTGCTGTGCCTACTTGCTCTTTTTTTAGATATCCCACCCTAAATTCTTCCTTTTATACATGGGTCCTGCTGGAAATATTAACTAGGAGTTTGGGAGGAGAAGGGAAAGGGAATCAGATTTTAGGAAAAAAGTGATGCTTTATGGTAAATCCCCCTAGGGGTAGCCTCACTGCCAGCAAAAGGAGTGCTAGATTTCTTAGGTTCATCAAGCGTTTGTCACCATAATGTTTCCTAGACTTAAAAAAATACTTTCTAAAAATTTCTCATGAAAAGTTTGAACTTATGTAATACATGAAGCAAAAGGTCTCTAATCCTATGCTAGAGATGAAGCATTTTCTAGATGGCATTAATGTTCAATTGGGAATGAAGAGAAGTAGAGCGTGTAATAGGCACCAAAATTGAGAAAGAGCCTTTCTGGTTTCCCTAGCATGACCTTTGCCTCCTGCTCTTCCCTGGAATATTTTCCCTTTTATATCAACCTTTGCCATCTCTTGCTGTCTTCTGGGATGTTCACTGATCGTATTGTAGTTAACACTTTACCCCTTCTTCAACTATTTTTTTTCTGTATCTCTTTAAAGTTTAGACTCTACCTGGATCCTATATTTGGAATAAAATTTGTCATATAGGCCCCTGCTCTCTACTAGGGTTACCACTGATTGGTCTCATTGATGTGTGCTGTTAGGTAGGGGTGTTTGTCTGGAATTATCCTAAGTGGTAGATCTGCAACAATTCCTTTTCCCCCTGGTCAAGGTCTGGGAGGGGCTGAATGTGGTGAAGACAGGCCGGGTGATGCTTGGGGAGACGAATCCAGCAGATTCTAAACCAGGTACCATTCGAGGGGACTTCTGCATTCAAGTTGGCAGGTGAGTCCTGGAACTGTGTTGATAACTTTTACTTAACTCCTGGGATGGTATTGATGACTTTACTCACTTAAATGAAGTATAAAGCAAATGTTTTGGGACATATTCTGTTTTTCAAAAAATCTGAACTTTAGCCGGGCGTGGTGGTGCACGCCTATAATCCCAGTGCCTCGGAGGCTGAGGCCAGGAAGATTGCGAGTTCAAAGCCAGTCTCAGCAATGAGGCACTAAGCAACTCTGTGAGACCCTGTCTCTAAATAAAAAATACAAAAATAGGGCTGGGGATTGGCTTGGTGGTTGAGTGCCCAAGTTCAATCCATGGTACCTCCTCCCCCTAAAAAAAGAAAAATGAATTTTAAATTAGGTGGTGGTTTTTATTGGATAAAAACTTTCATGAATAGCTACTTCCCCATGTCACTTGAAATTTTAACCAAGACACTGCACAGGGGAGTTGCATATGGTAATTCCTTACATGGTTCTAGCCTCACCAAGTTCTGCATTCTGGGCATCCCATCCATGGGCATATCCCTTAACTCTGGTTCCCTTACCAATACAAAGTTTATACAAAAACCAAAGAGTTTTGAGATTCAAATGGAATGAAGGGATTGTTATTATTATTAAGAAGTATGCATTCTGTGATTGGGCTTTACAAATCAGTGATCCAAAAAAGTGCAACAGCAATGGCCCTTGATAATAATTTCATGTAGCTGGGCGTAGTGTTGCATGCCTGTAATTCCTGGGATTCTGGGAGGCTGAGGCAGGAGGATCACAAGTTCAAGGCCAGCCTCAAAAACTTAGGTCCTAAGCAACTTTCTGAGACCCTGTTTCAAGATAATAAAAAGGGCAAGGGCCAAGTACAGTGGTGCTTGCTTGTAATCCCAGCAATTCAGGAGGCTGAGGCAGGAGGATTACAAGTTTAAGGCCAGCCTCAGCAATTTAATAAGACTCTGTCACCTCCCCCCCCCCCCAAAAAAAAAAAAAGCACATCTAGTTAAGATTTGTTGTTGTGATGTATGTTTGATTTTTTTTTTTTCTATATGCTTCAAAATTTGAGGAGGAATTGGAATAATTTTGTAGCATCAGCAAAAAAAAAAAAAAAAGAAAAAGATTTTTTCATTTTTTCAGTGATGGGTATCAGATTCATGGCTTCATGCATGCTAGGCAGGCACTCTACCACTGTCCATATCCCCAGTCCTAGAAGTACTTTTCAAGGGGATGGGAATTTAGAAGCATAATATAGTTGAAACAATGAATCTTTTAAATTAAGCACCTTTACAGTCACTTTGTTGAGATGGGGTATTGGTGTTACCCAGGCTAGTCTTAAGACTCCTGGGCTTAAGCAGTCCTCTTGCCTCAGCTCCCAGAGTAGCACTTCCATAGTTTTTTTATACCAGAGTTTGAACCCAGGGGTGCTTAATCATTGAGCCACATCCTCAGCTCTTTATTTGAGACAGGGTCTTACCAAGTTGCCTAGGGCCTTGCTAAGTTGTTGAGGCTGGCCTCCAACTTGAAATCCTCCTGCCTAACATCCTGAGTCTCTGGGATTACAGGCATGTTCTACCATGCCTGACCATCTTCATAGTTTTGTAGTTGGTTTCAGAAATATTTTGGGGTGTGTAACTTGCTGCTTCAAGTAGCAATTTGGCTGAAAAGTTCTGCAGTGGCTGTCATTGTACCCATTAAGTAGACTTTTGCACTTTAAAACATGGTAACTAGTAATTGTTTTCTTTTTTAGGAACATCATTCATGGCAGTGATTCTGTAAAAAGTGCTGAAAAAGAGATCAGCCTATGGTTTAAGCCTGAAGAATTGGTTGACTACAAGTCTTGTGCTCATGACTGGGTCTATGAATAGAAGTGGTCAAAGAAGGGGTCCCCTTCAGCAGTCTGAGGAGTCCCTGGACACAGCTGTTCATTCCACTGACTTGGAAGGGGTAGGGTAGATCATTCTTTTCTAAAGTGTATTTACCAATAAAGCCTTTGGAATTGGGTGCAGTGGACTGTGCTTATTTGATACTAAGCTGAAAGAAATGGCTTTGTTCTCCGGTTACTGTGGCAGTAGCCATTTATTACGGAAGAAATATCTAATCCTTCTCAGAACCTGGGAATACTCAACATATTCTAGGGCTGCAGAGGAAAAGTGCAGCATTGGTTGTTCAAGGAAGCTAATACAGAAATAAACATCCCTGATAGCATTAACAATAGAGAAATGTTTCTGTAAGAATTATTTGTGGAAATGATAAAACACGCAGACTAGTCAAGTGGTCTAGATTTACATGTTTGTTGTCTACAAATTAGGCAAGTTACTTCCGAAGTCTAAAGATTTTAAAAAAGGAATACCTATTACCAGTGCAATGCTGGATTAAATGAAATAGTGTATACAAATACAGTTAACTTCCATGTGTCTGGCCCATACCTGGTATACCTGCAACTCTATCAACTTCCTTTTTATTCTGGATGAAATACTTAAGATTGCTTCTTTCCTGGGCTAGAAGCAGGAATCCTACTTTTCAGATTAATTTGGCTGGATAGGCAGTTATAAAATGCATTTGTAGCACTCTCTTGATTTTTAAAGAGGTGGATTTATAGTTTTAAGAAAATGATAAAAATGAAATCACTTCTATGTAGGATTCTATACTGTGTTTTATGAAAATTGCTACACTAAATAAAATGAATGACATTGTGAGGGAAGCAATACATTTTGGGGCTGAAGGTATCCCTGAGGTGGAGTGCTTGCTAGGGATTTAATCCCCAGCACCACACACACAAAAAAGTTTGGTTTCTGCACATTCTTGGTACACAACTCCTAAGACCCTTGGATTTTCTTTTGCAATAAGGATCTTTTTGTATGCTGAGATGACTGTGGGGAGGGGTTAGTTTCCTGACCTCAAGGTGGGGATATACTGGTTCTTAGAACCAATTTGTGCCTATAGGGGTTGGAACTGTCATCCCACAACCTCTAGGAAGGGCAGGGGGGACTAAAGGTTGAGTTGATAACCAATGGACCATGATGTAGTCAACTATGCCTATATAATGAAACTCCCATAGCAAGCCAAAAGTACAGGTTTTGGGGAGTTTCCACATTCCTGAGTTGCCTGGAGGGTGGTGTGCCCATAGAAGACACAGAAGCCCCATTCACCTTCCACATGAGTTGCCTTGTGCATCTTAACTGTATTCTTTATATTCTTTATTAAAAAAAGGGTGATTAAGAAAAGTGCTTCCCTGAGTTCTGTGAGGCAGTTATGGAACTCTTGATTTATAAGCCAGCTGGTTAGAAGCACAAGTCACAACTCTAAAATGGGGGCGGGGGAGCAGTCTTGTAGGATCTGACTCTCCAAGTAGACTGTCAGAGTTAATTTGAAATTTGAATTAGGATACTCAGCTCATGTCTTATGGAGAACTACTTAGTGTGGGCAAAGAAATGTATACCATCTGCTGTCAGAAGTGTTGACATGGGGCTTGGGGTGTGGCTGACTGGTACAGCACCTGCATAGTCTAGCATGTGCAAAGCTCTTCAGTAAAAGCAACACACATACACACCCCTCCTGTTAAGCATGGTAGTAACCCTGAAACAGTTTGGGTCCTGGGTCTAGCTATGGGTCCGGTCCATGCTGGCCTCTGTTTCTCCTTGCCAGCTGGTAGGAAATTCCTCCTCCAGAAAGGAACAGGGGCCTCTTTAAGAGCTGCTTATAGAAGGCATTCAATATTTTGAATAAAGCATCCCCCTCAAACCACAACACAGTAAAGAGTGCTCAAATACAGCTTAACTTTAACATTTTATTTTGTGTAAAAAAGGGCAAATTTAGTGAATTATTTTAATCTTGTACACAAAGTTATAATTTTAATGCTTTTCACATCCATGCTGAAAATTTGCAATTTGGTAAAAATGAAAGGAACATAAATTTCTCTGAAGGAATTTTTCACGCCATTATATACACTTCATGAGAAAGTTTCACACACTTTCTCAATGATCACAAGTTACCAGAAAATAAAAGATTAAATTTGTACAGATATTGATCTATATATCAAATACATACAGAAATGATGTAAAAACCTTATGCAGTTTACTTTGATCTCTGTCCTCAAAAGATTTGCCTAGGAACAGAGAGATGCTTTTCTTTTGTATAAATGACTGTGGCTTTATTTAAAATATGAAAATCAAAGGAAGAAACCCAGTTTAATCACAGTATTTTTAAAATCCCTTCCCAATATTAAAGGATCATTACCAAATATATAGCACCATAATACAAATATTGATGGGAGAGGGTATTCACATCACACAAAATTAATAATAATAAAAACAAACAAACACTGAAAACCCGTGTTAGTATCCGTAGAATAAGAAGTTGATAACAGCTTTAGCTTTCCTCATACACAGCAAGGAAAAGGTTAAAGAGTTTAAACTACCAAAAGTCCCCAAGTAATCCTAACAGGAAAACAAAAACAAAAACAAACCCAAGGTCAGCAGTACACTGTGAACCGTAAGAGAATGGGTCTACTGAGTTGTACAATCAAGAGTTATGGCTGAGACATATATCTCCTCTGCATTGACTTATTTTCTGTTCTCAGCAGCAGGAGTTAGAGTATGAGTAATGAGGAGGGCTTCAGGTTGTGTTTAGACCGTAGGAAGTCCTTACCAACCCTTAACTGTTGGTCACTGGATCAAGACAAAAAACACTTCATGAGTATGTAGGAAATCCTAAAACACTCAGAGCCTGGTTTTTGCTACAGAACTGGAAGCTTATAAAACCTGGCTACAGATGAGCATTCACAGAACTAATTACCAGGACTGGTTGGCTCCAAATCACATCCCTCTTGGTTTATTCAGTTCCCCAGAGGATCCCTACACCCAAGGTACACCACAGGCTTCTTGAGCCTACATCATGGAGCCACAGTCCTGTATTTAATCCACTGAGCCTGAGAATAAAGACTGCTGTACCCTTTGCCTTGGAACTCTTCTAGGCTTTAAGTTTACGGGAAGATTCTTCAAAGTTCAAGATTTGGGAAGTGTGAGGATGTCACATTTATGGTAGGTCCCTCTCAGCAATGTTGTTTAAGATATCCAGTAATTTACAGCTGAATTCACATATATTTGACACGAGAATCAACTTGCGTTGATGTGATCTGCATTTATGCCCCCAAAGAGTCAGTATTAAGAAATGGTGACATGCGATTCCATACATTCTTACATTATAAAGTAACACATTTTACTTCCAGTAGCTACTACAAAATCTTATGATATTAACCCCTCTTGCATAGAATGAGGTAAACCTGTGCGTATTACCAATGCTATTATTCCCAAAAGTAGAGCAATATTTTAGAAAATAAATTGCTGGTTTTAAACGTTCTATGCATTTTAAAATTCAAACAAAAATCTTACCTAAAATGGTCTCCTGGGACTTTCTAACATTTTTTAAAGCATTTCATAGGCTGAAGGACTGTAGAGGTTAATCATTTTGATTAATTTCTAATTAGCCCTGCCTATATTCCAGAGGAGATGGTCAGTATTATCACTCTGAAGAGGCCAGGCTAAGACCCAGAAGCACTTCTACAACAGATGCAATGAATTCCTGAGAGTTTAGTTTATGAACCTCACTGGTAAACGCTAGAGCTCTCTCATTCAGTCACAACTCGGTAGAAGGTAAGAAAACAGCAAACCTTTCACCAATTTACCCTTGTACCCTAATTTTAAAGGAAGCCATGTGAATTTTAAAATAGGGAATGTTCAAAATGGTCCAAATCACTTACTGTTATTACTGTTAAAATAAATTCTGACTACAAATAAAGATAATTCATACTAGATATAGGAATTGCATGAAAATTAAATTCTCTTTCAAATTAGTTTTCTAACAAATCCAAGCTAGTTAAATGTGGAGCTGGAATGATTTTGAAATCTAAACCTATTTCGGCTTTGAACAACTTTTGATTGTTTTGGTAATATAGAACATCCGTTTTGGGGTGTGGTCATGCCAAGTTGCTATCTCACAGATGGAGGGAAATGGCAGAGAACTAATCAGAATCCCTTTTTGTGGGGTTTATTTTAGCAAGGAAAAGAAAATAAACTTAGGATAATATTGCATTTTCCCTAACCCCGCAATATGTATTCCCTAACCCCGCAATATCGAGATCCTGTATATCTTGTCAACCATTCCAGTTTAAACACTTTAGTGTTAGGATAATTTGAATCATTTTTTACTTAAAAGAACACATAAATGTATCCAGAGTTCTTCCAGTTTCATATAGAACTCCAAATAAATTTTCACAGAATGAAAAACATTTCTGTACAAACATTAAAATGGGCTGCAATAAAATGCCATCAAGCAGAATTAATTACCCCTTCCGTGATCTACATGGTGATGAGCCCTCCATGAGGGGTTCAGTTGCATATTTCTGCAGCAAAGGAAGCTGGAGATGTGACTGGCTTAACTTCTAAAATCCAAAAATCTCCCAACAGGTACCAAAAAGGTTCATTTGTAATGACAGTTCATTTGCATTTACAACTATATCCTTCTTAAATCATTTCCTTCAATCCTGCTACCTAAACTTTAATCTTACCAAAAAAGTTAAGATTTTCAGTTCTTGTTAACAATGCACATAAATCCAAACTTGGAAAATATTACAAAATTCTTTCAAAAGCTTCAAATACAACACAAAAATTGTCCATCTTTTTATAAATTGAAAAATTTCCCCCCCCACCCAGCTAAAATAGTTTCCCTACCCACCTGAAAAATCTGGAACTGAAATTTTCTGTGTTTAGCAAAATGTCCCAGTAGAATAGCCCGCTGTACAGCTGGATTGATTATAAATCAGTTCTGTGTAAAATTTTTCCCCTCCCACCCTCAGTTTCTGAGCCACCTCATGGCTCTTGTTTGATGTAGAAGTTGGCAGAGCCATTGCTTTCCTGATCAGATGCTCCTTGGAGGAAGTTGTAATCCTCTCCATCTAGCAACTCCTCCTTCAGCTGCAACGTAGTCACTGCATATGAGAGAGAGAGAGAGAGAGAGAGAGAGAGAGAGAGAGAGAGGGGTACAGGATGTTATCAAGCTTCTGGAATATCCAGATTGCCTTTACTCTTCATGTTCCTTCAGCTTTATAGTTAATAAGACTTCTTCATCAATAAATCTAAGAAGTAAACACCAGAGGGCTGGGGATGTAGCTCAGTGGTAGAGGGCTTGCCTAGCATGGGTTTTGATTCCTGGCACTGGAAAAAATACAACATAACACAACAAAGCACAACAACCCTGAAAGTTTAAACATTTGATTAAAAAAATTATTATTTTATTATTATTTTAAAGTGCTGGGTACTAACCCAGGGCTTTGTATGTGCTAGGAAAGTGCTCTACCACTGAGATATACCTCTGGTCTGAATTTTAATTTTCATTGTATACTGGCAATTTAGGAATGTTCTAGAAAGGAATAATACTGCATAGTGGACACCTCTGATGGAATGCTCAAGGTAATAGTGCTCAGTAATCTAAAATAATTGTTTTTATGATAAAGTATTCACTTTTATGTCAATGTCTACAGAAACAATGGCATATTCCTTGCATACTTCTAAGGTAAAATACACAATGACTTTAATATGATCCTACTGTCCCTAAGGAGCACCTTTGATTTATTTTGTAGTGCTAGAAATTAAGTTCAGGGACTTTTGTACAGAAGGGAAGTGCTTTATACTATTGAGCTACACTCCTAGCCTAGGAGTACCTTATTAAAAAGACCCCCCTAAAGTAAAAACAGCATGAATCTCATAATAAACATGCAAATATAATATGAAACAATAATATGAAATAATATGAAACAATATTTGTCATATAAATTACATTTATATAAATTTTAAAAATAAATCTTGTATTAAACTCCTGTATTTAAAGTAAAGGCATAGAAAACTTGGGTAATTCTTTTAGTTTAATGTCTACTGGGCTAGAGGCATAGCTCAAGGGTAGAGCACTTGCCTCACATACACAAAGGCCCTGGGTTCCAATCCCAATGCCACACAAAAAAAAACTACTGACACTCGTAATGTGAAAATCACTGATGCAAAACTACTAACTTGTCCAATGGGATCATTTAATAGTAGTACTCATTGCCTGGCCAAGTTCTTATCTGATGACTTGATTTTTAATGAAAACAAATTCACAGTACAGGCAATACTCTATTTATGGATAGGTCGTTTGACAGGTCTTAATTTCTGGGGACTGTTTTCAGTTTCCAATATTTTATGACAGGAAAGAGGAATTTCATCTTTGCTGGTCCAAAGTTGATCTTAGGCCAAAATTTTAGGTCAGGTTTAACTCTTGAGACTTTCCTAACTCCTTTAATAAACTACTCTTAACTTGTTACTACCCCTCAACCTAACTACCCAGCACCATTAGACTGCCCACAGAACTCCCTTTCAAAAAGTTACTTTACTTTTCTAATGCAAATGATCCTAGCTAGATGTCAGACTAGTTTCATGAACTACCCAACCTCTCAGAGATGTGTTTAGTTTTCCTAAAAAGTTATTGTCCAGGAGCTGGGGATGTAGCTCAGTGGCAGAGCACTTGCCTAGCATGTAAAAAGTCCTGGGTTCAATTCACCGCGATACTGTCTAACCCAAATTGAGCTGGTAAAGTTTCAAAAAAACACAAAATAAAGCGTTTTTTTTTTTTTTTTTTTTTGCGGGGGCGGGGGGCAGTATTGAGCATTGAACCCAGGGGCATTCTACCACAGAGCTACACCCCCAACTCTTTTTATTCTTTTTTTTTTTTTTAATATTTTATTTACATTTTAGTTTTCAGCAGACACAACATCTTTGTATGTGGTGCTGAGGATCGAACCCAGGCGGCACCCATGCCAGAAGAGCACGCTACCGCTTGAGCCACATCCCCAGCTCCTCTTTTTATTCTTTCTGTGGAAACAGGGTCTTGTTAAGTTGCCTAGGCTGGACTTGAACTTGCAATCCTCCTGCTTCTGCCCCTTGAATCACTGGGATTACGAATGTGTACCACCATGCCCAGTGAAGTTACAAATAATTTGAAATACAGGTGAGGTGGTCTCTTAAATAATACAATCACTGGAATCTAGTCCCATGGTGAGTAATGCTAACCTTGCTCAACTTCTTCAGGGTACACAGATCTACTAAATTGGCAGCCACAAACTATCCCTATCCCCCTTCCCCCTCTCACCTGAGCCTGGGGTCAAGCTAGACAAGTGTTCTATAAACACTTTAAAATCTGAGGATTTTGAAACCAGAGATTTCACATAAAGAATTGGCAACATTTAACATCCTTAAAGAGCTATATGACCAGTGGGGAGTGATGGGCTGCCACACCCTGTATCTGGGCAGCCTGAGAACCCCATCTATCACTAGGCTCCCAGGATCATGCTGTTCACTTTACTCACTGAAGTAACTTTGAACCTCTGCAGGTGAGGTTATCTGGCTCCAAATCAAAGGAAAGACTTTTTTTTGGTTTGTGTCTATTAGGTATCTTTTCATTAACAATCTGGAATGAGAGGATGCAAATACAGTAGTCCCCCTTTATCTTTGGTTTCACTTTTTCCAGTTTCAATTTTCTGTGCTTAACTATAGTTTGAAAATATTGAATGGGAAATTCCTGTAATAAATAATTCTTGGGCTGGGGATGTGGCTCAAGAGGTAGCGTGCTCGCCTGGCATGCGTGAGGCCCGGGTTCGATCCTCAGCACCACATACAAACAAAGATGTTGTGTCCGCCGAAAACTAAAAAATAAATATTAAAAAATTCTCTCTCTCTCTCTTTATAAAAAATAAATAAATAAGTAAATAAATAATTCTAAGTTCTACATTGTACCTTATTCTGAGTAGAGTGATGAAACCTTGTGCTGATTGGGATGTGAATCTTCCCATCATCAGGTCTATCTGTGCCCTATATACTACCTGCCTGTTAGTCACTTAGGAGCTTTCCTATCTCCTTTAATAAAGCTATCTTCGTTACTGGATGGACTGTCATAGTATTGTAGTACATGTGTTCAAGTAACTGCTTACTTAACTCAAACAAGAGCAACAATGCTGGCAATTTTATTGTGGCACTTTGTTATGGTTTTTCTATTTTATTAGTAGTATTGTTGTTAATTTCTTATGTGCCTAATTTATACATTAAGCTTTATCATAGATATGTATATTAAGAAGAAACATAACATATATGTATAGAGTTTGGTACTACATGTGGTTTTAGGCATCCACTGGGGCGGGGGTGGTCTTAGAAAATACTCCACTTGAATAAAGGGGACTACTGAATATGGAATGTAAACTGAGAACTGCTCATACTGAAAATAAAAATGTAAATTTAAGAGAAGAATTAGGACTCAAGAACATTAAGGGGGAGTAAGCATTTACATTTTTCATGTGACAGTAATGCTGTCACTAATGTCACTATGTAGAACAGTATTAAAATGTCTACAACTTTTTTTTGTGTGTGTGTGTGGTGATAAGGATGGAAACCAGGACCTTGGGCAGGTGCATATTAGGCATATCCTCTAACAGTGAGCTACACTTCCAACCGCCATATCCTGATTTTACTTACACAGAAGATTATTTAAAAAAATTAATGACCTCTGACATCTTATTTACTAATTTATAGGATAATCTTCTGAGCAACGACAACTTATTTTCTCATCTTACTTTAGCACCTGTGTTGGTACTGGTGGTTAAAAATTCAATAGGCCAAAGACAGAAAAGCGAATACACTGTGTATAATAACAGCAAAATTAACACCAATCGGACTATGGAAGGGTAAGCAAACAAAACTGTGCAGTTCTTTCCTTTCTTTAAAAAAAAAAAAAAAAAAAAACTACTTTTAATAAAATGCTGTTATAGAGAACTGTATTAAATGTATAATACCTATCCTTCATCTCACATGCACTAAAGTGTTAGGGACATTTTAACAATACCACAAAGATAAACACATAGATAACAAAACCCAAGTTCATTAAAGGTGCAGTACCCACAATAAAAGGTTGATTAAAACGATATCTTGTTGTAGGATGATCAGATGGCTAAATGAATGGGAACTACCGTGCCTTAAGATCAAACATGTTCCATTCAAACAGATGTTTTATTTTTTTAATGTTAAGAAAGGTAAGCTGAGATTCTAAAGCACACCTGAAGCTACGTGCATTTGCTGCTAATAACAAATTTCTGGATTAGGCTTCTAGTCATGTTAAAATATGAAAATGATGTACTTAAAAAATCACTCAAGATACAGGTGAAACATTCACTCAGATGTGGAATGTTTTAATGAAAAGTTTCACGGAATCAAAAACAAAGCCTGTCTGGTATGCTCACACTAATCATTTTTCCTTCAGGCCTTATTCTCAATGAATGATGGATGAAATAGATCCTGTGGCCAGATGTCATCTTCTATACAAATGCTTTTTCTTAGCTCTCTTTTTAAAAGGAAGTCACTTTGTTGACACTAATCACTAACATTTCAGGAAATAAACCAAAAATGACATTTTCCCACTTACAAAGCCCATAAATAATAAATTCTCTCAACAGCTAACTAAATTGCAGTTTTCAGATAGTGAAGGTAACAAAGCTGTCCCTACAGTTTCACCAGAGTAAAATCACACCATGTCCCACAAGATACACCCCCAAGTCAGAAGACACAACAGACACTAATGGAAGAAGGAAGTCACATAAGAAGCCACGTGCTGCTTTCTGTTTGGCAAGCCTACTCTAAATTCTTGGGTTTTGCCAATCTAAAAAATCAAATTCTGTTTTACATGAGTTGGGACCTCTCAACAAAATGACACATGCCTCTAAAATTAGTTTTGTCTCAAGAAAATACACCCCAAATCCCATAAAAATTCAAACATATTCAGAACTCAAAATGTCTACACTTAATTAGGTAAAAGAAGACTATTTCATAATTAGCAAGTATAAAATGAAAAAGTTAAACAAGAAAAAAAAAACTATGACAGACTATGAAGGTTTTTCCATTAAAGAGCAAGTAA